CGGCCTCCCAAAGTGCTGGGATTACAGGCTTGAGCCACCGCGCCCGGCTCATTGCTGTATTTCATAACATCCATTCCATTTCCCAAGCTGAAGGAGGAGGGGATGGCAAAATGTGGGTGACATTCGGGAGCAGGTGGGCTTGGCCAGTGAGTTCTCCCACGTCTGTCAGGGACAGGTGCTTTTGGCCCAGCAGCAGCTTCCTCAGCAGTGTTCGGGCCTCTGCGGGAAGGAGGGCCATGCAGCCTCTCGCTCCTGCAGATCTGAGATGCCATGGTTTGCTGCTGGCCTGATTCCAGTCTTCTAAGAAAGTTTGAGGGACAGGGAGAAAGATGTTCACTCTGGAGCTGCCTCTCTGGGGAATTTGGAAGCAAAGGTCAGGAGCTTCCCGATGGAGGCCAGCGTAATGAGAGAAGCTGGGTGATTCAGTCCCCAAATTTTCAAAGGGGTCTATGGTCCATAGGCGAGGACAGAAGAGATGGCTTTTCAGGAAGGTCCTCTCTGAGCTGGCTTTTCTGGGCACCCGAGTTGGGGCAGGGGTGAGAAATGGCAGGGGGCAGCCAACCAGGTAGCCTCTATTTGCATATTCATAAGCCCCCTATGCTGGTTGGCTGCACTAAGCAGCCCCCACTGTCCCCAGAGTCAGTGGCTGCAGCAAGACTGGATCTGTCACACAGTGCTTTGTGCTAAGAAGGGGCCAGAGGCTTCCCTCACTCAGTCGCGGGCACCAGGCCTGCCTGGAGAGGAAGCAGGGAAACCAGAAGCACTTCCTGACCATGCCTCTATCTGCCCAAGGCTGGTGAAGAGTGGGCTGCTCAGTCTTCTAGGGTGGCTGGCCCCACCTGGCCACAGAGCCCAAGACAAGGACCTCCCGGAGAACCTCTTCTCTGTGAGTAACACCATCCTTTCCATTTACTTTGTCAGAGTATTTTTTTAAAAATTATGGAAGATTATGAAAATTGTGAAATGTGCAGAGTAGAGAGTAGCATGGCAACACCCACCCCTATACTCATCACAGAGATTTAACAATTGTTCGTATGTATTGGCTTCATTTATTTTTGTTGGCTGAAATACTTTCAGGTAAATTACAGACATGGAGACATTTCACTCCCTAATTCCTTACTCCACAATACCGTGTATGCATCTCTGGAGCCCTTTTGAAGCTCTTCTTTCATTAGGTTCTCAGCCAGGTTCTGAGTGAAGGGGTGATTGTCATCTCCATTTTACAAAAGATGAAATGCGGAAAGTGCAGCTTTAGGACCAGTAGCTGGGATTAGAGCCCAGACCTCCTAACTCCCAGCCCGGATGCCTGGACAGCCACATGTAAGGATCTCTGATGTCCAGGGGTGTTTTCCTAGAGAGCAAGGAGACATTGCAGCTGCTGTGTGACCTTGGGCATGTCACCTTACCTCTCTGAACTCCTGTTTCCTCATCCATAAAGCCATGCCATGAAGATCCAGGATCCCGAACACTAGTCCGTGACATTTCCCTTGGTTTTTAGAAAAATGAGAAAAGACAATGTAAAGGGTTTTTCACAAAGCTAAACTTATTTGCATATTATGCCCTTCGCCCTTTTTTCTTTCAAAAACAAGGTGGTTAAGATTCTTTTTTTTTTTTTAAGATGGAGTCTCGCTCTGTTGCCCAGGCTGGAGTGCAATGGCGAGATCTTGGTTCACTGCAACCTTTGCCTCCTAGGTTCAAGCAGTTCTCCCTGCCTCAGCCTCCTGAGTAGCTGGGATTACAGGTGCCTGCCACCATACCTGGCTAATTTTTGTATTTTTAGTAGAGACGAGGCTTCATCATATCGGCCAGGCTGGTCTCCAACTCCTGACCTCAGGTGATCGGCCTCCCAAAATGCTGGGATTACAGGCGTGAGCCATGGCGCCCAGCCAAGATTCTTTAAGAAATAAAAATCATGTACCAGGAAAGGGAGATGAAAAAATTTTAAAAAGGAAATAAAAGTGATGGTAGATGTAGTCTTTTGTATACTTACTTTTTGTGTCTTTGCCTGCAAAATAAAATGTCAGTAACTCTCAAGCTAGTCCAATATCTTTCCTCTTCATTTTATTTTTATTTTTGGTAAACCAATTTTTAAACTCATTTAAAATATATTTTAAACTACTTTTGTTTTGGGCGGACTTTTAAAACGAAAACTGAATTAGGTCCACTCCAATGTCCACTGATTTCTTTTTAAGAAACTTGCATGATGCTGGCAGATCATCTCGAAGCTCTGAAATAATATCTATCTTCAGTTCCCATTCTGCTGCTTTCTTTTCAACATGTTCTCTGAGGATTTGTGTAAAGAATATGCTACTGTTCTTGTCATTTCCAAAGCAGTCTATAGAAAAGCCATATCTATCCCTTTATTATTTTTGGTCCCCAAAGGAGGAGTCATAATTACCGTAACAAATGACTTGGCATTCTGTTAGATAACAGGCACACATCACATTGAACCATGTCAATATTTGTTAACTCAAACTCTTCCACATTCCTATTAAATATTTCTGATACGTCTTCATCTCTGTCAAATCCACCATACAACCCTGCTCCTAACATTGCAGTTCCGATGCTAAGCATTCCACAACCACAGCCTAGATCTGCAAAGACTTTATTTTCAATGTCTCCATAAGTGTTATGGATTTTGTGGAGCATGCATGCTGCAATTCGAAGCTTGGTGGGGTACTATTCTGGAAGTAGCTGGGCCTTTTCGAATCCATCCACTTGTTGCAAGTGACTCTCTAGTTCCTTAAGCCTTAATTTCTTCCTCGGTTTTTTTTTTTTTTTTTTTTTTTTGAGACAGAGTCTCACTCTGTCACCCAGGATGGAATGCAGTGGCGTGATCTTGGCTCACTGCAACCTCTGCCTCCCGGGGTCAAGCAATTCTCCTGCCTCATCTTCCTGAGTAGGTGGGATTACAGGAACCTGCCACCATGACTGGCTAATTTTTGTATTTTTAGTAGAGACGGGATTTCACCATCTTGGCCAGGCTGGTCTTGAATTCCTGACCTTGTGATCCATCCACCTTGGCCTCCCAAAAATGCTTTGATTACAGGTGTGAGCCACCAAACCCAGCTTATTTATGGACTCTCAGGGTTTGAAGGTACAGGATCTCAGGAGGTGACTGGCACCTTGGCTGGGACCAGAAGCCTTCTTTATTTTACTAATGGTTGTTGAAATCTAAAAATACAAAAATCTGGAAACCAGCCACTGTATCAGATGCTCCTAAACCCTTTCCACCTCTAGAGTGCTATGGCTGTGGGGGCTCCTGAACCCACCGTAGGAGGAAAGGAAACCAGTTAAGGAGTTTCTATTTCCAGCACCAGAGAATGCAGGGCCCATGGTGATCCTCACCACAATCCTAGGAGATGGGCTGTTATCAACCCCATTTTACAGCCAGAGAAACTGAAGGAAAAAGGCAAAGTTAATTTGTGTAAGTTCACATAAGAGCTAACAATTCCCCCCAGGTCTAATACCCGGTAGGTCATTCCATAGTTCACAGCCATCATCGAAGCAGATCACCAGGGCTCCTGACTTCACCATGTCTGTGTCTGTGGACAGACAGGGCCGTGTGGCCTAGGCCTGTCAGTCTGATCCACTCTCCTCATTTCTACCATCAGCCAGTGCAGTGAAGAGAGCTGCTCAGGGCTGGACCAGAGATGGATGGGTGGCCTCCGACATGCAGCAGAGTGGGGACACTGCAGAGAGTCTCCCATCGTAGAGAATGAAACAGGATAAGGTGGTATATGATAATGGCTTTGTAAATCATAAAAATGAAGGTTGTATAGGATAATGTCTTTGTAAAGCATAAAAATGCTATGTGACTTTGAGATGTGCTACCCTGAACATCTCTTCATCAGTAGCTAAAGTTAGCTCTGTCTGGCATGTATTTGGATGGGAGGCTGTTCAGGAGTACCGTGGGGAAGACAAAATGTATTCATATAGATGTGATTAAGTCATCGTTATTATGAAACGCCAGTGCTGGGCCCTTAGATCCCGCGGTAAGTGTTGATGAAGGTAGCAGCGGGGTTTCAGGATAAGGCATTTTCCTCCACACCTTTCCAATCATGTTGGGTAGCTGTCTGCTAGGCACAAGGCTGGTCCAGTTGGGATCCAACTAGAAAATGAATGAACAAAATACTGCAAAGAAAAACATGTTTTCCTAACAAAAACCAGGCAGGAATTTTATCAAGGAAATAACAATAAAACTTATTGTATAAATCGGGATTGAGTCCAGGCGTGGTGTCTCAGGCCTGTAATCCCAGCACTTTGGGAGGCCAAGGCAAGCAGATCACGAAGTCAGGAGTTTGAGACCAGTCTGGCCAACATGGTGAAACCCCATCTCTACTAAGATACAAAAATTAGCTGGGCATGGTGACGGGCGCCTGTAATTCCAGCTACTTGGGAGGCTGAGTGAGGCAGGAGAATTGCTTGAGCCCGGGAGGTGAAGGTTGCAGTGAGCCAAGATCGTGCCACTGCACTCCAGCCTAGGTGACAGAGCAAGACTCCATCTCAGAAAAAAAAAAATCTGGATTAAGATTCAACAACAATGATGAGGACGAGTTAGCATCCCTTGGGCTGCACGAGATACCTTTCACCTGAGGACTCTCCACAGCCCACTTTGCTTTATTGATTGGCTCTCCCGTGACCCAGCTGAAGCACATCAAAGGTGTTTGCTGTTCCCTAAATGTGTACACATCATAGAAGGGAGACATGGCCTGTGTGCTGCCGGTCTCACCTCAGCTGGCCCCATAGGCAGCCCTTCCCCTTTGCCCCACTTGGGCAGAGCTTCGGGAGCTCTCCAGGGATATTCCCTGGAAGCACAGACCCACAGGGAGAAAGGCTGCCATGTAGGAGGTGATCTGTGCAGGTGATGGTGCTACAGACACTGGCTGTTCCTTCTCAGCTCACGTCCAGGTGCTCTAACACAAAGCTGAAAGGAGACAACACACGACTTCTCTCATACGTTCTTGTTTGTTTGTTTGAGATAGGGTCTTGCTGTGTTGCCCAGTCTGAGTGCAGTGGTGCTGTCATGGCTCACTACATCCTCGACCTCCTGGGCTCAAGAGATCCTCCCAGTTCAGCCTCCCAGGTAGCTGGAACCACAGATGGGTGCCACCACACCTAGTTAATTTTTTTTTAATTTTTTTGCAGAGATGGGATCTGATATGCTTCCCAGGCTAGTCTCAAACTCCCAAGCTCAGGCGACCCTTGAGCCTTGGCCTCCCAAAGCACCGGCATTACAGGCGTGAGCTACCACATCCAGCCTTATGTCGTCCATTAGATACTTGAAATTCAAACTCACGCTCA